CCATGCCAGGACTGCCATTCCTGCCAGTGGTGAAGACTCCAAATAGCACTTCATTGCCCTCGGTGATACTCAGCTCAGCAGCGAGTTGGGTGCCCACCGAAGCAGAGTGGGCTGCCTGAAGGATCGGGTAGGACTGCTCCCGGTCTGGGACCCCACGGCGCCGGCGTTTAGGTGCAAAATGACAGTCAAGGACCAGTTCTCGGTAGTCACTCAAATCTGCCTCCAAGGCATTGAGCCGTGCCAGGCGGGTTTGCAGGGCACCAGGAGAGTCTATCACACTGGAAGGCTGAACAGTCAGCAGGTAAACAAAGGCTCCTGCATGGAAGCTATGAACATATTCTATATGGTAGGAGTCCAAATATTTTGGCAGCACTGACAATGAGGAAAAGCCTGGTTCGAATCCTGAGGCATCTGCCTTGAGGCGCCGGATGGACACTGAGCCAGGGCTAAAGCTGGTAGCCACCTTTGCATCCAGTGAGGATGCCACATAGAAGTAGGAGGCCTGGCCCTGCTCAACCACTGTCACACGGGTGCCCAGTGGGCTGGCCACACAGTCCGGACAATCCTCAGGCCGGTTGTGATGGGCTGAGAAAAGGCAGATAGGCGCTGCCAGGTGCAGGGTTGTCCCGCGCATCTCCAGCTCATGCAGAAAGCAGCGGCCTTGTAGGCTTGAGCCACAGCTGACCAGTGCTGGCAACACCGGCTCCAGAACCAGCACCAGTGTGTCTGTGTCATCTGGTGGGCCATGGGGGCCAGGGCCACAGGCCGCACATGTCTGACAGCCAGGATCCCCGGTAGGGCCAGTGGCCAGACTCTCAATAGACTGCAGGTTAGGCCCAAGCACATGCAGGTGATTGCGTGTGGCCACAAACACCGCACTCCCATCCCCGCCGCCCTCATAGGTGGCCAAGGCCTGTACCTGGCTGCCAGCAAAGAAGCTGGGCACTACATACTTCACATCAAAGTCGCGGGAAGCAGCGTAGGGTGTGCGAGGACACTGCCAGTCCCTGTATGACATCGACACCGCAGTCAGCAGCAATAGCAGCAGCAGCAGGAAGAACAGTGGCAGTAGCTGAGGAAGCTCCATCGAGGTGAGCTGGAGCCCCTTAGGGATACCTGGTTTCAGGCCTTGGCTGGGAGCAGAGGTCTGAGCTGAGATCAGCGTTGAGGAACGGTCAGAAAGCTCTTGGACGGCCACCCTGGGTTTCTGTGAAGCCCAACCCCTTCCACTCGGAGCACCTGATACCAATGTACACACAGCAAAGAAAGGAACAGCCGTCTCACCTGCCGCGGGATCTGTGGCATGGAATTACCGCGTGGAGCAAAGTCGACCTGAGGGCGCAGAACGGGTGCGGCTGGGCTGGGGGCGGGGCTGGGGGCGGGGCTACGGGCGGAGCCTTGTTGAAGGCCAGGCTCTCAGCCCATCTGACTCTTCTCAACACTGGGCCCTACACTTTCTCTTGTGCGTCTATTTCTCAGGGGCCTGTGGGTGGGTGTGCGTGGAGTGGCCTGAAGAGAAAAGAGCAGGCCTGAGCCATTCCATTACATCCCTCCAACAACCGACCATGTCTAAGTAAAAAGTGGATAGGATAACCTGGTTCTTTTGTTCTGGTGGAGCTATGTTACAGCAACACCCTCAGACACTGGTTCCCATAGCCCATCTGGGGGACCTACCGTGTGGGGAAGAGACAGGGATCTTGTGGAGTGCCTCACTTCAAGGGCAGGGACAATCTTTTTAGTTGCCTGCCCTGAGCCTTGTCAGAGGAAAGTAGGTTGTGCCCTGATCACCCAGGGCCATATGAATTAAGGTATGAGACTCATTCCCTGGATAAGAGTCAGAGGAGACTATGTGAAGGTTTAACTCTACCTCTGGTCCCTCCACTGCAGCCTCAGTATGTGGAAGCCATAGGGGGTACAAACCATAAAACTGACCTCTGGAAAGACTCCCCCCAAAGGTTCTGCTCTAGTGCCCCATGATATGGGGGGAGGGATGGGCTTTGGTTCCCAGGGCTTCTCTAATCTGCTCTGTAAGCCTTTTAGTCTCTGAGATAAGAATAAAGTCCTGGTTAGATGGTTAGCTAGAGTTTTCTATCCAGTCTGTAAATTGGTGGTTAGATCCTAGTTCTGCTTTGCCATCTCCTTCATTTGGACCTCAGCACTGTCTTTTGGCTAGTGGCCTCCCTCAACACTGGAGGTGGGGATCTATAACCAGATAGCCCCTTCAGCCCAGTAGGCCTGGACTCTAGAGGGAAGGGGTCCAAGCCTAACATCACTGTCACAGAGTGGTTCTGGGATATTATCAGTGGTTCTGGAGTGGGTAAGGAAGCTGGGTAAGGAAGGAGCCTGGACTGGGGAGCTCTACCTCCTCCACTCCCTACCCAGTGCACACCTCACTGCCTGTACCTCCTTCCTAACCTGACCTTTGCAATGCTATTCCTCTTTTCAGCACCTTTTTTTTTTTTTTTTGTTCTTCTCTAAAAGCTGAGATAACACCTCTCCCAAGGAGCCATCAAGACCCAGGTCCCTCTCCTGGATCCCACACACTGTGCTACACACATTCCAGCACAGTTTACTCTTGAGTATTCCTTGCTTTCTCCATTTCCTGGGCAGGATTTTCCCTCCTTCCATGTTGGATCTTCTTGAGCAGCTGGTGACTGAGAGAGGAAATGGAACATAGAGCAGTCACACCCAGTGCAAGATACCATGCCCAAGGCAACATAAAAGGCACTCCCTTCCTGATCCAAATTGGCCCGGAAATGAATAAACACCCAGTGAAAATCACGGCACCCTTCCAGCATTCCATGGTCAACACATCTAGATATAGTCACGCAGGACAGAACTGAAACGAAATACTCTCCACCTGAAGTCCATCCCACCTCCAGATGTTGGGAGAGATTTCTACCGATTGGGAGAAGACTTCACAAGCCCTCCTAAATCATCTGCCCACAGGTTTTTAGGGGGTAAAAACGAAGTGCCATCTGTTGGTTCTCTGCTGCCACCATGTGGCCACATGGTGGATGACCTTCTAAGGCAGACAATCTCAATAGTGGGATTCACAGAAGCACCCTTTCCTTCCTTCTTCCTTGGTTAGCTCTGCAGAAGGGGGCAGGCAAGGCTAGTGGGGAAGGTCTGCTAATAGTACAAGTGCTCCCCCAAGACTCACCATGCCTGGCCCATAACTGGTTTAGTAACTGCCCAATTACCCTGGCATCTTGTCACCATGAACAAGGTGGCTAGCACTTTGCCCTCTTTGGGCTTTCGGTCTCCTGTGAACACTGTTCCAGAAAACTGGGTCCAGTTTCTTTTTCTAATCCAGAGATCACTTTAGTGGCAGCAGAGGTTTCTCTCCAACTACAGTATGACCCCATCATACTGCAGCTTCAACTCTCTACTGCCAGACTTTTTTCTGGAGGTTGAGAACCCCAGGTCTTATAAACTCTTCCAGCTTCATGAAAAATGTTTTGTCTTTTTAAACCAGGTACTTGCCTTTGCACATGATGGTTTCTTCTTTATTTGCCTGTCATTCTACCCTGATCCCCAAATAAGCAAACTGCATGATTCTAGGTGCCTATTTTCCAGGTACACAGTTAGATAACTGTGACCCCTCCATCTCTGACATAGAGGCTGACTGTTGATAAGAACACTAGTAACAATCAGGGACATCTGGACTGGCATCACTGTGTTCCCTGAAGCAGTGGGTTGGTATAATAATCAGGAGCAAAGAGAAGAACAGAAGCTCAAAAGAGGCAGAAAAGAGATCCGAGCATATGTGTAGGATARCAGCACTTATCAAACCTGGGGCTACTCCCCATGGACTTTGGAATCTGGGTAGGTAGCCTGCTGCCATGCTGATTTCAATGTGATCTAGTTTGGAGCCAATGACAGAAGATATGTTGCCATTTCCTGGGAGAGGAATACAACTCTCCCACTGTATCCTTGGCTGATGCTACCTACAAAGACAAATTCTCCAACATGGGTTGGTTTTAAAGATAGTAAAATCTGGGCCAAACTCTCAGGGGCTGCAAAAGGATGCTTTTGATCACATTCAGTGGATAATTTTTTCCCAGAAACACTTCCTAGGCCTTTTGCTTCCCTGGCCAATGAGAAGTTGTAGCAGAATGGGGAGAGCCCCAACAATAAAGATGAAGGCTTTCTGCACTGTGTCCTAGGCTCTGCCCCCAAAATTCTCAGAGTGAATGAGCCTTTACTACCAAGCCTCCTGGGATGTCCATGGAGTTTCATGCAGTTCTGGCCATGCCAGGCTAGGGAATAGGGTAACTGAGGAAGAACCAGTGCACCTAGTGACATCAGTTCTTATTAAGGCAGATGCATTCCCAGAGGCCCTGGAGGCCAAGGGGACCTCCTCTCAAATCCTCTAGCTCATTTTGGAGGCCATTCTGAGGAATGTGCTGGTTGAGGTAGGGAAGCTGAGGCAGATAGCCCTTCATGGAAAGGCCTATAGGGAGAGGCCTGTGGCTACAGGGAGACTAAACTCTATAAATTTGTGCCTCACCAAGGGCTCTCACCCACACCATAGCCCAGATTACCCCACTTAGGCAATCTTTATTTTACTCAGCTCAGCCCATGCTGATCTATAGCAGTTTATTAAGCAGTCACAGCCAGAGCTTTGTTGGGTGGTCCTTTAGGGCATGCAACTGGAGGGTCCACCCTGGAGAGGGAAGACAAGTGCAGAGGCAGCCTGGGTACAGAGGGAAGGTGCAGGGGCAAGGGTAGGACAGTAGGATGACTGAGAGCCTTTACATATGATGATTTCAGGTGAACCAAAACATCTGCAGCCAAGGGTCCAACTCTGAATGTGTGTAGGCTGATGCTAGTGCAAGGGCAGGAGGAGAGTGGCTTAAATATGCATGTGCGCCTGTATATGAAGAAATATGTGCAGAACTAGGGAGGAGAATCCAGTGTTTGTCCATGATAGTAGATGGGCAAAAACAAACAAACAAACAAACAAAAAAAAAAAACAATGACATGGCTGCAACAAGTGTCTTCCCCAAAGTACTTTAATGCACACACCAACCCATGGCTTTCCACACCCAGTGGGACTGGAAGGGCTGAGTCTGCACACATTCCCATCAGTAGGTGAGGGGTGTGAGGATGAAGAGGCGGTCTTCCTCTTTACGGATCCAGCGCATCAACTTATGGATGGCACTGACAGCTGATGCCTTAGTCCCCAGAGGGCTGTAGCACATGTAGAGCTCAAAGGCGCCTGTCACCTGGAGAAGGGGGCAAAAGGAGGTCATCTAAGATGGATAGCCCTTATGAACCCTACCCAGGACCTCCATGAAGCCCAGCCTAATGAGGGCCACCTTACCCAGGCTAGGAGGTTCTCGTTGGGGCCTGTGTAGTAGATGGTCTTGAGTGGGCGGGAGGCATTGTGGGCACGACTATGCAGGTATTGGTAGAGGCCCAGCAACCGCTCCTGTTCCTCTTCACTGGTGTATGGGGCCTCAATCTCAGGACTGCAGATGAGGGAGTGGGTTCACAAAGGAATGACTTCTATTGCCTTATCTGGAAATCTAGAAAATCTATTCCTAGACAGGGAGACTCCACCACATGTTCTACTCTCCAGATGTTCTCTAGGACAGGTTATTGTCATCATCTCCCCACTCCCTGGAAGACTTCCCAGGAGACTGGTGCTCTGCCCCCTCACACACCCAAGGTCATGGTATTGTTTTCTCTGGAGAGGCCAATTTGAGTTTAGGTGACTAAGAAGAATGATAGGTCTGCAGTTGATAAAAGGTGTACTGGGAAATCCTCTGGGTAAAGGGAGGACAGAAGCTGCCTTATCTGCCCAGTTCTTTCCCTAGAGGAACAAGTGAAGGAAGACTCTGCATCCTGGATTGGACCAAAATGACCCCCTAGGGCAGAGTTGCTCTAGGGCAAGGGTCCTAGGAGACCTCTGTTCCAGCTTTCTTCCCTGTGTATATTGGTCAATTTCAGGTCTTACAGGTAATGAAATAGGTGTATGCTGGTGGCATGATAGAAGTCTGGGCCCCTTGTACCACAGTAAAACAACTCTAGAATGCTGGTCCACTCCCAAAGGGGTTGTCAGCTTCAGAGCTACATCCTAGGACTCAGGACCAACCAGCCTCCTCCCCCCCACATCCTTGTGTCCCTGAAGCAGTGTCCTCCCTCACCTGGTGAAGAGTCCTGAGCTCTTTGATTTATAGAGGAAGTGACGCAAATCAGGGATGCCCACTTGGGCAACGCTGTAGTAGGGTGTGCGCAGTGCCTCCCGCAGCGCGAGGTGAGCTCCGCGTTTGCGAAGGCGCTCCTGGAAGCGGCGGCGGCAGTCAGAGACAGCGAAAAAGTCCTCGCGATCGGTGGAGACAAGAAGCAGACAGAGGTCAGTGTCAGGCTCTAGGTAAGAGATGTGTGCGTGGAAGAAGCCAGCTGCATTGAATTTGGGCAGGCATACCGGCGTCCAGGCCTCACCCTCACGGAAGGACGAGGAGGAACTTATGAGATTGAAGAGCAGGTGCAGGTCGATGGGGTGCAGGAATTGGTCCTTGCGGCGCACGAGCGCCACCAGCTGGTTGCGGGCCACTAGGATGGAGAAGACAAGGCTGCGAGCACGTGCCTGTTGCAGGCTGGCACTCACCGCATCTCGAACGGTGGCGGCCAGGGGCAGGCACCGCGCCGCCCCCATTAGGAAGCTGGGGTCTCTAGCCATTAGCTGTAGCAGATTGTCGGTGATGCGCTCGGAGCCTGAAAGCAGGCGCCGCAGGTCGTAGTTCTGCTTCTGCTGGAAGATGTGGCTCAACTGTGCCCCAGTAAGAAGGCTCAGAATTTGGTAATAGATGTAGAGCAATTCTTGTGCCAGCTCCTGTGCCGACTGCCGCGTTCGTGCCACTGCCACCAGCACCAGTGGGCTCCGGCGCACAAATACCACCTTGTAGCCATCTGAAGATGGGGACACAGCGTCAGCATCAGGTCCTTTCCCAGAAGCCATCCTGATAGGCCTTACCCAGATCTGTGCTGCCTTTCAATTTCCACATCTTTTTCTCTCAGAGCTCTCTGTATTCAGCTTCAGGATGAAACCACCACACTTTTTTTTTTTTTTTCCCATACTAGGGATTGAACCCAGGGGTACTTTATTTATTCATCCATTCATTCATTCATTGAGACAGGGTTTCACTAAGTAACCAAGGATGGGCTCAGAATTTGCCGTTGTACTGTAATCCCAAATCCCGGCAATTTGGTGAGTTCCACCAAACCAAATCCCTTGCTCTCTTTCTCTGCCTCTTGCTTCACAGATTCATTCCCTCAGAAACACAAGGTCTTCAGAAACAGAAAACATACATTCTTAAGGGAAATGCTAACTCAGCTGGGTGGGACTAAGGACATCCTTTTTTTTTTGTACTAGGGATTGAACCCAGAGGCGCTTACACTGAGACACATCCCCAGCCCTTTTTAAGCTTAGGGCCTTGCTAATTTGCTGAGGTTGGCTTTGAACTTGTGATTCTCTGGCCTCTGCTTCCCAAGTCTCTGGGATTACAGGTGTGCACCACCATGCCCAGCTTTTTTTTTTTTCTTTTTTCCTTAATCACCCCTGCCCTTCTAGCCAATTTTCACCTGTTTTCTATAATAAAGCTATGTCAAAGCCATCATTARCCCTCACCGCAGCCCCATAAGACTGGCCATGTTGTTAACATATGTTCAGATGAGGACCTTAAGGTTCAGAGAGGTGAATGGAGGGACTTGACACTCAACACACAGCACATCCCAACCCTCTAGTCTGTGGGGGTCCAAAACCTGCTATGAATTAAACCTGACCAGTGCAGCCTTCCCCACCACCCCGGGGCTTCAAGTGGCTCACCTGCATGGATGGAGCGGATGGCATTCTTGTCTGCCTCCAGAAAGGATACTAGTGCCACCATGACACCCATTGTGCTGGAAAGCGCCTCCTCAGAGCCATAGCGAGAGTACACGGGTTTCCCTGCCTCACTCAGGACAAAGACATGTTTCTGGTGCAGGCGCCATGCCTCCGTAGCGTCTTCTTCATCCCCCTCTGTTGTGCCCTCCCTCGAGGGCTCCGTGTCTGGTCTCCCAGTTGCCCCTGGGGGTTCCAGCCAGTCCTCAGAGCTTCCTGGCAGCATCTCCTCTTGTAGGTCTCGAGCCACACCTGTCAGCTGGGTGCTTAGCTCACTAAAGTCCTGGCTGATCTGGCGCATATCTGTAGGCAGTGATGGAGGACCCCCAGCACCCTCCTTGGGACTGTCCCCAGAAGCTGCCCCATCCTCTGACTCAGTCAGGTCCTCATAGGAACGGGCATGGACAAACATGGCACCCTCCTGCCCGGCACCTGTAGGCCAAAAGCACTGGTGCTTAGAAAGGGAACTGCTGGCAGACACTCTCTAACATGGTTACTCTAACATGACTTTCTGTCCTGATGGGGCCATGCCACTGTTCCTTCCTGCCATGCTCATGCTTCTCTGCAATTTAGAGCCCATTGTTTTCCTCTCATCGCACTGGCAATAAGACCTAAACCCTCATGGCAGCAGTGGTGACTGGTATTTACCTACCTCTTTCATTCCCATATTAGGCCCCCTCCCTAAGAGACACTGATGCTGACCTTTGTCCATTTGCTCTTTGACACCTCAACATGCCCCAACCTACCTCAGGAGCTCTGCAGTTATATCTTCATCTTACCTACAACCTTAGCACTCTATCATATGATTCTCTGATTTCCTTTGGGACACTTGCCAATTATTTCCCTATCCAACTACAGTGGTAAGGTAGGAACCTGTTTGTTCACTGTTATATGCCCAGTACCCTGCCCTATGCCTAGAGCACTTCCCATACTCAGTGAATCTATTTCCCTGGGGGAAGACTCCTGTCCCATTCAGGTCACAGTCCCTGACTGACTCCATAGCCTATGGTTTCCCCATGACAGAGACCACATCAGTCTTCCTTTATTAATTTGTTTTTCAGCACTGGGGATGGAACCCAGGGCCTTAGGCATGCTAGGCCAAATGTTCTACCACAAAGCTACACTTCTAGTCCCCTTATTTTTCTTAAAGAGACACTATCTTACTATGTTGCCCAGTCTGGGCTCAAATTTGTGGATCCTCCTGCCTTAGCCTCCCAAGTAGCTGGTATTATAGGTGTGGTGCCACTGTGCCTGGTTCCTTTACTGATTTTCTTTTCTTTTTTTTTTTTTTTTTTTTTTTTTTTGGTGGTTCTGGGAATTGAACCCAGGGCCTTGTGCATGCACGGCAAACATTCTACCAACTGAGCTATATCTCCAGCCCCCTTTACTAATATTTTTGCCAAAGTAGTTATAAATTCAGCACCATACAAGGCATTGGTAATATAAATGCCCTGTGCTCAAAGAGCTCACAATCTTATTGGAGAGAGAGGGTAAACACATGCCGAAAATTACAAAATGACTAGTGTCCTGTACAGGGCAGGCCTAATTTGTGAGGAGGAGACATTTAACCTGAGAGCTAAGGAGGGGAGAAGGTTCCAGGATCCTGTAGACATAAACAGAGGGATAGCCAGACTAGCAGCCCAAGAGCACAGGATGAACAGCACAACATGAAATGGAGAGGAAGACCACATGTAAACTTAGTCTGGCTCCCTGCAATATCACTAGGATGAATACCCAATGATTGAATGAACAAATAATGAATGGTGGGAAAGAAAGAGTGGAAGAGCCAGAAGCTGACTGTTCCAGCTGTCAGGTGATAGGGGCTACTCACTCTGCCCATACCTGGTTCCATTCCCTGGGCCAGTCCAGGTGTGGGACTCTCTGCTCTCTCCACACTCTGTCCATCAGAAGGAGCCAATGTGCCATCAGGGCATTCACTACTTTTCTTCCTCTGCATATCAGCAGCCATCCTTTGGGCTTTCTGTGGGATAAACAAAATCAAGGAGGATAGGGAGAATGTGCAATTTGTAGAGTCACTGATGTAATTAACAGTGTGAAAAAGTGTCCCTTACCAGGACCCTAAATCCCTGAAAAATATTTTCTTCTAAAAATTAAGTATCACATTTCTTTTCTGATTATAAAAGGAAGACAAATTTATTGTAGAAAACTTGGAAAAGGCCAGGTGTGGTGGCACACTCCTGTAATTTCATCTACCCAGGAGGCTGAGACAGGAGGGTTACAAGTAGGAGGTCAGCCTAGGCAATTTAGCAAGATCCTCTCTAGAAACAGAAAATAAAGCTGCTGTGGTGATGCTGGCCTGTAATCCCAGTGGCTCAGAAGGCTGATGCAGCTGCATGAGGTGGTGCACACCAGTAATCCCAGCAACTCAGGAGGCTGAGGCAGGAGGATCACGAGTTCAAAGCCAGCCTCAGCAACAGCGAGGCAGAAGGATGAATACCCAATGAATGAGTGAACAAATAATGAATGGTGGGAAAGAAAGAGTGGAAGAGCCAGAGGCTGACTGTTCCAGCAACTAAGCAACTCAGTGAAACCCTGTCTCTAAATAAAATACAAAATAGAGCTGGGGATATGGCTCAATGGCTAAGTGCCCTTGAGTTCAATCCCCGGTACCCCCTCCCAAAAAAAAAATACACATTAAATGCAATTTCTTTTCTTTCTTTTTTTTCAGTGTTAAGGATCAAACCGAGGGCCCTACCACTGAGGTACATCCCCAGCCCTAAATGTAAACATTTTAACAGACTGAAAACAGGGGCTAAAACTTACTGGGTGTCAGGGCAGTGTGCTAAGAAGTTTATATGGATTGAGTTATGTAATCCTGAGCACTCCTCTGTGAGGGAAGTGCTTTTATCAAGCTAGCTCCATAGATGAAAGAACTGAAGCTGAGAGTTTAAGCAGCTTATTTAATGTTACTACAAGAAAGAAGCCCTGCATATGGGAACTAAAACAATTCTATACCTTCATATTTTTGCCTCCATGTTCTGCCATGAACATTTATTTCTCCATTAAAAACAAAGTTGATTGGGCTGTGGATGTGGCTCAAGCGGTAGCATGCTTGCCTGGCAAGCGTGCGGCCCTGGTTCGATCCTCAGCACCACATACAAAGACGTTGTGTCCGCCAAAAACTAAAAAAAATAAACATTAAAAAAAWTTTTTTTTTCTCTCTCTCTCTCTTTAAAACAAAACAAAACAAAACAACAACAACAACAAAAGTTGAAGCTGGGAGCAGTGGCCCACACCTGTAATCCCAGCAGATTAGCAGGGCTGAGACAGGAGGATCGCAAGTTCAAAGCCAGCCTCAGCAAAAGCAATGCGCTAAGCAACTCAGTGAGAGCCTGTCTCTAAATAAAATACAAAACAGGGCTGGGGAGGCTGAGGCAGGAGAATTGCGAGTTCAAAGCCAGCCTCAGCAACTTAGTGAGGCCCTAAGCAACTAAGTAAGACCCTGTCTCTAAATAATATACAAAAAAGGGCTGAGAATGTAGCTCAGTGATTGGGTGCCTCTGGGTTCAATCCCCTGTACCAAAAAAAAAAAAAAAAAAAATTAAGTTGACAGTCTGGGGTTGTGGCTCAGCAGTAGAGCGCTTGCCTAACAAGTGCAAAGCCCTGAGTTTGATCTTCAACACCACATAAAAATAAATAAAGTATTTGTCCAACTACAACTAAAAAAAAAAATTAAGTTAACAAAGAGTTCTTTTTGCATATTTTATTTATTTAAATATTTTTTAAATTGTATATGGATACAATAGCTTTATTTTATTTATCTATTTTTATGTAGTGCTGAGGATAGAACCCAGTGCCTACATGTATTGGCAGGCGCCTTATCACTGAGCCACAACCCTAGCCCCCTTTTTGCATATTTTAGTGCTTGCAGAAAAAGAAGTAAGACACAGCTAACGGGCTTTGCTTCAGATTGGAGCTCTTCTTTTCTCTGAATATTATTTTGTACTTCTTGAAATTGGCAAAAGGAATTCCCTTACCAGAAGCAGGGCATGGGGCTGTAGCTCAGAGGCAGAGCACTTGCCTAGCATGTACAAGGCCCTGGGTTCAATCCCCAGCACCACATAAAAAAATAACTAAATAAAAACAACTACAGGGACTGGGGTTGTGGCTCAGTGATAAAGCACTTACCTAGCATGTGTGAGGCACTAGTTCGATTCTCAGCACCTCATATAAATAAATAAAATAAAGGTCCATAGACAACTAAAAAATATTTWAAAAAAAAGAAAAGAAAAAAGAAAACTAGAGATGTGAGAATTCTCTATGCCAATTTGATGGCCAGGACAGATTTAACATGATCTTCTGGTCTTACCATGCTTCAATGCCAGGTAGAGGACACCTCTAGTAGATAGAGGGGGAATCAGCTTTATCAGCAGATGACCTTATCTTCCACTTCACTGAGAAGACTTGTCACCAGGATAAAACTTCTGTAAACTACCACCATCATCTTGTCTCATCTGCCAGACTCTGCCTTTCTTTCTTTCTTTTGTTCTTGAGGGACTTTTATTTTTATTTATTTATATTTGGTGCTAAGGATCAAACCCAGTGCCTCAAACATGCTAGGCAAGCGCTCTACCATTGAGCTACAACCCCAGCCCCAACTCTGCCTTTCTTTTTCTTTTAAAGATATGTTGTTCACACTCCCCTGTGGCTAATTCCAGTCCTTCTTGCTTAAAAGACAGACAGACATAGCTTTTTAACATTCACGCTCCTTCTTTCCCTCACCCCACCTCTCTCTGTCTTGGATTTTCCAGCTTCTTTTATCTTCAAAACGCCCTTCCTTAGATATATTTTCTTTGTGATAATTCACTGAGCTGTACAGATGGTCTTCAATTTTATGATGGTAGGAAAATAACATTAATTGAGTAGAAACCATACTTTTTATTTTCCCCCTTCAGTATTGTGGATTGAACATGGGGTGCTCTACCACTGAGCTACATTCCCAACCCCCCTTTTTAAAATATATTTTGTAAATTGTAGATGGACACACTACCTTTATTTTATTTATTTATCTTTATGTGGTGCTGAGGATGGAACCCAGGGCCTCACATGTGCTAGACAAGCACTGTACCACTAAGCTATAACCCCAGCTCTCCCAGCCCTTTTCATTTCTAATTTTGAGTTAGGATCTCATTAAGTTGCTCAGGCTGACCTCAAACTTACCATCCTCCTGCCTCAACTTCTGGAATTGCTGAGATTACAGGTGTGTGCTGCTATGCTCAAATAAAAGCTTAATTTTTTTCTTATACAAAATCTAGCTGGGTCTGATAGAAATTCAGAGTAGCTCCCTTCCAAGCAATGATACAGGCTACAGGCATCTTACAATTCTGTTCTTTGGAGCTATATCCCCAGTCCCTGGCCTTGAATTTAAAAATATATATATATTTTTATAGTTGTAGATGGACAGAATGCCTTCATTTTATTGTTTGTATTTTTATGTGGTGCTAAGGATCAAACCCAGTGCCTCAAGCATGACAGGCAAGCACTCCACCACTGAGCTACAGCCCCAGTCCTGGCTTTAAATTTTTGATCCTCCAATCTCCCAAGTCAGTAAGATTATAGGCATGTGCCACCATACCCAGCCACTTAATGATTTTTTTTAATCAATTCTATTTGTAATGTAATTTGAGACTGCTCACACTCACTCAGCAAGAAAGTCAATTTCCTCCCAGGCATGGTGTGCATACCTGTAAACCCAGTGGCTCTAGAGGCTGAGGCAGGAGGATCACAAATTTGAGGAAAGCCTCAGCAATTTAGTGAGGTCCTAAGAGACTTAATGAGACCATGTCTCAAAATAAAAAAATAAAAAGGCTGATGGGGCTGGAGCTGTGGCTCAGTGTTAGAGTGCGCTCCTAGCATGTGCGAGGCCCTGGGTTTGATCCTCAGCACCCCATAAAAATAAGTAAATAAAATAAAGGCATTGTGTCCAACTACACCTAAAAAATAAATATTAAAAAAAGGGGGGGCTGGGGATGTGGCTCAGTTCTTAAGCACCCCAGTTCAATCCCTGGAATCAAAAAAACAAAGCAAACCAATTTCCTCATAGGGGTGTAAAAGGCCTCATCCCATATGCCCTCACTTCTGTACTTTTAAATTTTTTTTGGTGGGTTGGGGTTGTGGCTCAGTGATAGAGTGCTCACCTAGCACATGTGAGGCCCTGGATTTGATCCTCAGCACCACATAAAAATAAATAAAGGTATTGTATCCAACTACAACTAAAAAATATTATTATTTGGTACTGGGAATTAAACCAGCCCTTCTCATTTATTTATTTTTGAGACAGGAACTCTTCAAATTACCAAGGCTGGCCTCAAACATGCAATACTTCCTGCTCAGCCTTCTGAATTGCTGTGATTACAGGTGTGTGGACTGCACCCAGCTTCTCCTTTACTTCTTTGACCTTATCTCCTACCCTTTCTCCCAACTATTTCTGCCTTAGTCTAACCATAGTGCCTTTTCCTAAATATCCTGAGCATACCTTTATTTCAGACTTTGCCCTTGCTGAACTTCCTCCCTGTGCATATTTCCCTGTCTGGGCTAGTACATTATTCACTGTTCCTCACTTCCTTCAGATTGCTGCTCAGTATTACATTATCAGAGAGGCCTTTCTGCAATATCCCTGCTCACCCTGGTTTATTTCTCAGGACTGAAGGTCCCCCTGTGGCTTGCTACAAATTTCAGGTGATTAGAGCCACATGCAGGTGGAGCTTAATCAACATTTGCTAGATAAACATCTTTGAAAGGGAGGCAGTGAAAGATCTGTGAACACCTAGATCCAGCACTTCTACAATGAGGCAAAAAACAATCAAACAAATAAACCAACTCAGTCTGTAGAAGACTTTTCTTTGGTGATAGTCAAATATTCAGGAACAATGGCTCTGCAATTAGAGGAACTTGGATTTACAGTTCTGTTTTCTCATCTATAAAATGGAGATTTAAAGAAAAAATGGAGATAATTCTGGCATACACCTGTAATCCCAGGTAATTGGGAGTCTGTGGCAGGAGGATTGCAAGTTTGAGATCAGTCTGAGTGATTTTTTGAAACTCTATCTCTAAATAAAAGTATAAATAAAAAGGACTGAGGATGTAACTCAGCAAGCAGTAGAGCACCTCTTCATTCAGTCCTCAGTAAAAAAAAAAAAATTTAAATTAAAAATGGTGATAATAATACTACTTATTCATTGGGTCATAGAAGATAATATAGGTAATCTAATTACCTTAGTATACAATTATTTTGACATATCATACATTTGAATCTAATAGGGTATGAATTCTCATTTTTCCACGTRTACAGATTGCAGGATTCTCAATATTTTTTAAGTTAATTTTTAAATTTATATGTGACAGAGGAATTCATATTACACATGTAGAGCACAAATTTTTCATATCTCTGGTTGTCTCAATATTAAGAAGTAAACTCTCTCAAAATTAATAAATTTAAATAAACCCTCATAAAACCTCAAAAAAATAATAATTACCTTAGTATAGAGTAGGCATTTATATGTGTAATGCTGTCATTGAGTACATCATGATTATTTTTACTTTGCATTCAGACCATGTATAACAGTACTCACACACAGATCCAGTGGTCTCTGTCATGTAAATCAGTCCTTTATGAGTTTGCTCAGCCAGACAGGGGCCCTGGATGAATGGCCTGGGGAAGCATGCATCTGATCTTATGAAGTCAGGTGGGCTCTAGCCTGAAATGACCCACCTGTCAGATCAGGCTATTTACAAGTGTTAGAGTTGAAAAACAGATGACTAGCTCTTTGCTGCTCCTAGAAGTCTTTGCCATGTTTAATTGGCCCTGCTCTGTGGCCTTGAACTTCTGGTTCAAAGATCCAAACAAGGTCTATAGCAGTTTAATCCTATCCTGAGAACTCATTCCCCACTGATCCCTTGTAGGCTTCAGCTGACTAAACCCAGTATGTCTGACTGTACCCAGCATCCTAGCATGGTACCTGCATGGGGAAGAGAGGAGAGTCAACTGTCTAGGGGTAGTAGGTGCTTCTTTTTTATTTTTATTTTTGGTACCAGGGATAGAACCCAGGGGCATTTAACCATTGAGTTGGGATCCCCAACACCCCCCTTTTTTCAAACAATGTTTTTTTTTTTTTTTTTTTTT